CCGTGCCCCGCTGCCGCCCGGGGTCTCTACCCTGCCACAGCCCCCGCTCCCCCTGCCTCCCTCCAGGCTCATGAACAAGCTGCAGCCCAACTCAGTGAGGAAGATCAATCGCTCGGCTCAGAACTGGCACCAGGTAGGTGTGGGCAGCCCTGCCTGCGACCCGGCCGCTGCAGGGCCCCGGTTCTGCCCCGGCCCCTCTGCCATCACCCGCCGGGGTCTTACCCCTCTCCCCCCACCCCCAGCTCGAGAACCTCTCCAACTTCATCAAGGCCATGGCCAGCTACGGCATGAACCCCGTGGACCTCTTTGAAGCCAACGACCTCTTTGAGAGCGGGAACCTGACGCAGGTGCAAGTGTCACTGCTGGCCCTGGCAGGCATGGTGAGCATGCGGGGACAAGCGGCTTGGGAGGGGGCGCAGCCCCGCGGGGACCGGCTGGGTGGGCCCCCAGCTTGGGGTGGTGCCTGTGGGACCCCGCGGCTCCCCCTGCCCGGGGAGAGGGTGGGAGGTCCGGGACCCCCGTCCTTCCTCACCGCCCCTCCCCGGCAGGCCAAGACGAAGGGGATGCAGAGTGGCGTGGACATCGGCGTGAAGTACTCGGAGAAGCAGCAGAGGAACTTCGACGAGGCCAAGATGAAGGCTGGGCAGTGCGTGATCGGGCTGCAGGTGGGTTGGCCCCGCGCGTGCCCCAGGGTGATGGGTGACGGGGCTCCAGTTTTATCAAACCCTCAGCACCCACTGTCACGGCTTCAAGCACGGCCGGGGGGACCCGAGGCTCAAGGTGCCTCGAGTGTCCTTGGGATCTGGGACCATCTCGGCTCTGTGTCTGAACCCCGGCACTCAATGTCCGGGAGAGGCTGGGTCAGGGAGCGCTGGCTGTGATCCCCCCGGCTACGAGGGGACAGGGAGGGAGGAGAAGGGGCACGTGTGGGGCAGCGCTCGGTCTCACCGGACCCCCTTGTCAGATGGGCACGAACAAGTGCGCCAGCCAGTCCGGCATGACGGCGTACGGCACCAGGAGGCACCTCTACGACCCCAAGAACCAGATCCTGCCGCCCATGGACCACTCCACCATCAGCCTCCAGATGGGCACCAACAAATGTGCCAGCCAGGTGAGCCACCGCGGCCACGGTGGGGAGGGGTGGGGGGGGGGACCCCGGCCGGGCCCTGCTGCGTCCTGTCCTTCCAGGTGGGCATGACGGCTCCCGGCACCAGGAGACACATCTATGACGCCAAGATGGGGACGGAGAAGTGCGACAACTCGTCCATGTCGCTGCAGATGGGCTCCAACCAGGGCGCCAACCAGAGCGGCCAGGTCTTTGGCTTGGGCCGCCAGATCTACGACCCCAAGTACTGCCCGCAGGGCAGCCAGGGCGAGGTGGCCAACGCTGCCTGCGACGAGGGCGGGGACCCCCCCGGGTACCACTACTACCGTGAGGAGGAGAGCTACTGAGCGGGACGTTGTCCAGCCCCGTCTCGCACCATCTCATGTACAGACCCCACTGCCAGCGACATTCCAGCCTCTACTTTTGTCATTCCCTCTTTTTAAACTTTTTTTTTTTTTTAAAAATTTTGAAATGAATCTATTTTTCTGAGCAAGGAAATAAAGACCCTGTTTCTAGAGAAGAGACCGGCCGTTTCCCGCAGCCCACGGGCGTCCCCAGGCCCCAGCGCAGCCCCGGCGTTTGCAGCAGGAAGGCGGCGGATGCTCCAGCGCCGAGGAGCGGACGGTGTCTCCTCTCACGCAGCCAAGAAGACGCATTCCCACCCAGCGTCCACCGCGCCGCCCCTGCGATGCTCTGCCGCGGCAGCGCCCGGATCCCTCAGCAAGGAGGGGGGGCAGCCACCCATGCTCCCCCAGTGCCGCTTCTCGTTCCCGTGCTGGCAGGACCCGGCTCAGCCCCGCGGAGGAGAGGGGCTCGGGTCGGCGGGACGTGGTGGGAGCACGGCCAGGAGAGACCCTCAGGCGTGGGGGGAGCCCGTGGGTCCTCGGCCCAGGGACGGGATATTGTGTGTGTGTCAGTGTGTGTTGTGTGTGTGGCGCGCGCACCACCAGCAGCCTTGCACTCTCGTGTGATCTCTAGAAGCGAAGCTGGAAATGCCTTTTTTGCAGAACTTGTAGGGACCAAGTTGCCGAGGCCCCCGGTCGTGGCCGCAGGGCTGGGCTGGGACCCGGCACACCCGGCACCCGGCTGTGCTCTGGCTCCGAAAGCCGCAGTAATGCGATTGCCTGGCAGGCTGGCACCCAGGCTGACTCTGCCGGCCGCAACCTGCACCACACGAGTGCGGGCAGCTGCCAGGGCAGCGCGCGGGGCTGGGGACGCTGGTGCACGGTGCAGCCCCCTGTCGGCTTCTTCGCCTCATGTGGGGTTTTTAATGCAGATGCTCTTATATTGAAATCTTTTTTTTTTTAAAAAAAATCTTTTTAACTTAAGCAGGAGCCGGTTTCTGGTGCAGGCTCCTTGTGTCAGTGCTCAGGCTGGATCCCCCCATGGCTGGGGGGGGTGGGAGCTGCCGTAGACCTGGGCAAGACCCCAGAGCGCCGTGGCCGTGGGGCAGGAGGCTGGGCTCTGGGGGGCTGGCGTGTCCCCTGGGGCCGGGGCGCTGAGCGGGAGCTGGGAACTGGCTGTGAGGTTGACGGTGCTGCTGTGAGGTGTGCTGGTCCTGAACGTGGGCAATAAAAAGCTTCCTGAAGGGACATGTTGTGCCGTGCTGTCCAGCGCCAGGCTGTGAAGCAGAGCTGGGCGCTGCGGTTAAACGCGGGGCGGCCGGCTCCTGCCGGCGCGGGCTGCGCCCGGGGCTCAGCGTTGCCCTGAGCGCAGCCGAGGGACCTTCGGGACCCAAACCCGCGTGGTGCCCCCAAGGGCCGTGTCCCAGCGGTGGCCCTGGGCTCACGGCCCCGGCCGTGCCTGTGCGAGCCCTGTCTGGGCAGGGATCCACCTTTTGGGGTGAAACGCTGCGTTTCAGAGAGCCGCGCTCCCCCAGCTTAGGCCGCAGCCTCCGGCCGGGCGTTACCACCCGCTGCAGCAAGAGCAACTCAGCTTGGCTCCCATGGGGCCCTGCCCGCGCCGCCTCCCGCAGCATCCCGCTGCCGAGGTTCACCGGC